TTGTGGTAGATAATTATAATATTTGAACGCAAAAAGTCAAGGAATAGAATAAACCTTCTTAACCGTCAGCCACCAGGCCAACATTTTTTTTTATCCTTCTTATTTTTGTGCATTTCTAATATTGACTTTTTATATTAATTCGTCCATTCATTTTGTATATTTTATTTTATCGTAAGAGCATCTCCAAAGAACTCTTTATATGATCCAAACTCTTTATTATAAAGAGTCTATCCATAAAAATAAGAATCTAATAGACTCTTTATCTTTAAAATATAAATTAGAGAGTGAGTTTGACTCTCTATATTTAGAGAGTCAAACTTCACTCTCTATCCTAATTTTAATTAATAAATTACAAGTTTTTATGCATTTTATTTATTAATTCTCTCTCCTATTAAGTTTATTTCTTAAAAATAAAGAGCATTTTCATTAAATTTAAAGAGTCTATTGGATTTGAATAAAAATTATATTCTTTATATTTAAAAATTAATGAAGATACTCTTTATTTATATGAAAGATGTTCTTCAAAATAAAAAGCATCATTGGAGATGCTCTAAGACTTACTCTATGTTATTTATCTTATATTTAGACTGCAATAACATAAAACTTAAAATTTCATGACCTCTAAAAATACATGACAGCTCAAATTGGATGTTTGAAATTTCTATGAACCATATAGAGAGATATTTGAGCATATCCTGAAAGATTTGCTACATTATAGGGCATTGCCTAGTGCCATAACCCCCTGTACTCAACAGTCAATTCTTTTATACCATATCTTTGAAAAATGCTTGGATCATCTTTAATGAAACCATCTTCAATATCCCTTCTGAAGAAAAAAAAAAATAAGAATAATAATGGAACTCAACTCAGGCCACAAGTTCATTATCAATCCAAAGTACTTTTTTCTCTTTCTCACCACTCATAATTCAACAAAACTTCTGTCAACTTGCACATGGACTGATATCTAATCTTCAAAGCTTGATTCCCTTTGGTTGGTAACCAGAACTTGTACGTTTATCTGCTTATTCTCATTCAAAGTTTGTTCCATGCCCGAAGAACAATTCAATCTCCATTTCCCAATTTTCATATTCCCTCTCTATGCAAAGATTATATGCTTTCTTCTATATTTGTTACTTCTTACTTTCTTAGGGTCCTGAAAAGTCACAGTTGGTCTTTCACGACCCAAAGGCGAAAACCGCCAAAGTTTAGGGACTTGATTCTTGACAGGGAAGCCAAATTTAGAGCTTTTTAATGCTTTCCAACTTGTTAGGAAGGACCACATTAATTATATGGAAAAGGGTCCTGGAGAAAAAGGGCACAAGGCCAATTATATATTGAATTCAACATACCTGTACATTCTAAGGTTAAATATCAACGTTGTATTGTATATATTAGGACCACGTTGAAGACTGGTACCAAATTCTGATCACCTCTTCTTCAATAATGTTAAGTTGAAGATGGCAACTTGTTTCAGTTGTTGGTTCTTGATGTTCATGGACAAATTGTTAGCTTATAACACAGGCATTTGAGATCTTCCTAATGTGCGGTGTTGGTAAAAAACTTGAGGGATATTAAAAGTTCGAGATAGAGGAAACACCTTTTGAGTCTCACTATAGGAGGTGAATAAGAGATGAAATTGATAGAATTTGAAGCGGACCTAACTCCTCACCCAATAAGATGAAGGATTATCCCTTCTTATAAATTAGTAGGCTTGAGTGTGCCTAGTCGGTGTGTAATTTCAATACTCACCCTCACGGTCAAACTTATATATTGGGTCATGCTTGTTGATGAAGATAGTTCTTGCACTTAAACATGCCTAGTCGGTGTGGGACTCCAACACTTACTCTCACAGTCAATCCTATATGTTAGGTCATGTCTGTTGATGAAGGTAGTTCTAGCTCTAACTCCTCACCCGCTGATCAAGCACTCAGCTCAACTAAAATGGGATAGAATTTGAGGTGGGTCTAACTCCTCACTCAATAAGGCCTCGATGATTGGAAAGATTACCCTCTTTATAATCCAATAGGCTTGAGCGTGCCTAGTCGGTGTAGGATTCCAACAAAACTTAAGCCTGACTAATAAGATGGCCAAGACAATAGTTGATACAGTAGAATCTCTCTATAATCATAATGTTGGGACCAATTAAATTTATTACTATAAGGAGGTTATAATTTAATAGAGGTGTAGTTACAAGAATTATTGTTTTGATTTCTTATTTTATAATTTATGTTTTAGTAGTATTAGGATTTCAATTCATTGTTTTAATCTCATTAGGATAGTACGAAAATGGATATTAAAGAGTCAATGTAAAATTAAGTAATCAGATTCGACAACTTCACTACACTAATCAAATGGATATTAATGTCTTCCTCAATAATTCAAACGAGCAACAAGTCGTGTATGTTTTAACTGAAAAATAAATCTTTACTGGAATTAGACAAGAAGAGGAAGGAGATAATCTTGAGAATGATAGTACGGAAATACCCAAAATTTCATGCCAAAAAGCTCTAAACATGCTTGAGAGTTAGAAATATTTTGGCTTCAACAAAAAAGTGTTCATATTGGTGCCTTATTATATACCTGCAAGACAAAAGATGTGGTAATAATTCTAAAACATAAATCAATGTCTCAAACAATTTTAGATAAATATTTTATTTCATCTTAAACCTTTAATATAACATAACATATAGTTTTTACAATATGCATATAATTATTACTATATAGATGTAAGTTTCTTAAGACGGGACCTAAAAAAATTATAATTTATTACAATATAAAATTTATTCTTATTTATAACTGACCCAAGTTAGGATAGAAAGTTCTTATAACTACATTAGGATTATTTCTATATAAAATATTACTATAGAGAGATTCTACTGTAATTGGATCTCTCGGAATCTCGTTGGATAAGAGATGTTACAACTCTCTTGTGGTTACCTACATCTTAAGGGAATAGCAAACATTAAAATTATACAATGAGAAATTGGGGCCCAGCCTGTTGTACCTTGTAGGCTATTCCACCATGAAATTTCTCTATCATATCATAAGCAAATATTGGAGGACCAATGCATCCTTGAGCCATGGACCTTCGGAAGATGACCTAACAGTTAATACATTTACATAAAGAAAACATGATTTTCCTTTCTGCACATCATCCACACCACTCAACTAAATCACATCAATAATTTTGATAACAACAGTGCCATTTTGCAAAAGGTAACATTTTACTGCTTAATTGTTTGATGCAGGCTACACAAAAGTTTTTCATTGCACTGTCTTGATCACCTTTTCTTCCAATTAATTTTCTGCTTTTCCTTATCTTGTTCTCTCATTTTAAGTGCTTAGGAGACAAGTATGTTTTCTAATTTTAGTTTCCAAACAGACTACATCATGAGCAATGATTGTTTCTTATGCATTAAGGTTATTCTAGATCCACAAGTGTCTTTCTTTTGCATATTGTTGTAATACAATCAATTAACGAAAGTATATCGTATCAACGCAAGTGGTTTGTTAACAGGTTATATTACAACAAAATACGTGAATAGAACAAATTTACTTTCTTATTGACCAATCGTATTGCGACAGGATACACTCTTCTAGATTAACACAACATGAACAAGCCAGGTTCAATGTCCATTAAAAAATTAGCTCAAGGTTCAGTGTATGTATTTGCAAGAAGTATACTTTACAGGATTGTTTGTGCTAAATAAAATCAACTGTGATGAAGATATTTAGTGTCTTGGCACTGATGAGTTCTTAGAGGACATGTATAAAGACTTCAACTTTATCTGATTAGTCATCGCAAGGGAAAGCAACCCACCAATCAAACTGACACAAAATCCCTATACTTATCCAGTGTAGAAGCAGCAGCTAGCACCTGTTGACTCTACAGAACATTGATTGAAACGCATACATGTAGCAACCAACCAGACCATCCAATGTGATTGCGTATATCATGGTACGGTTTCAGGTAGCCAGCTACAGCCTTTTGGAACTTTGTTCAGAGCAAACATCCGAAAATCCAATTCCAAAGATCTGAAACGAATCAAATCAATTATCAAAACTGCTTTGATGCATTGCTGCCCTCTTCTTCTTCAGTCCAAAGATTATTGTCGGTTCTCTGCCTATACGGAAGCCAATGGTTTTGAGTCTGACATCTTAAAGATTCTTTTATTTCATCTTCTTGATGCACACTTCAATATAATTTGGAATATAATACCATCATTAGAAGCTAAAGCTGGGGAACAATAACTTAAAAAGAAGGTTGAAGTTTATGCATAATTTGTTGAGTGAGTTAAGTAAATCAAGTATAAAACTAGCTTTTGCTGTTACTACTGATATAGATAGGCTAAGTAAAGGGAACCATTACTGGGACAAACATGCCAGTCCAATGGAAAAGATTAGACCAATAAGGACCTGATATCTTTTATCTTTTCCTGCTGTGTTGTACAAGGGTCATTGCTTGGCTTAGCATATGTGGTGACTGTTACCCTCAGTGGTTCACAGTTTGTTTCCTAAGTTCTCTTCCTTTTAGTCTTCCAAGATCCAGATTTGGTAAAGACAAACTAAACCCCACTTTAATCACTTTGGATTACTAAAATAACTTTACTTTAATACCCAAATTTGATGATTTTTAATTAGATAATGACACAAATAAGAGCTAGATATTTACTTGGATTTGAAGTGACAACTAGATGTATACATTACAGTAACTGTCATTCAATTATTTCAGTTCTATGAGCTTTAACAAGTCAAAACTACATTTTCAAACTGTAACTTAAGATGGAACCTAACAACTCTTTCTTATAATAACATTTCAACTAACTTCATATATTATGCTTAATTCAACAAATCTAAGAAAAGGGTTACTGATTTTATTAAGAAAATTATACTCAGGACACACTTGCTTTGTAATTTTGATTCCTCTCCCCTTCTCTTTGTACATTGTTCTGCTTCATCTTGTGGCTCTAAAGAAGACGGGTCACACCTTATGGCTTATGGTAACCTTTTTCGCAATACAGATTCTCCAACTGGCTCCACAACACCACCTTTCTTTACTGTATATAAGCAGCTTAACCATAACAATATCCAGCACAAGCCATCATCACTTAAACTAAATCTATCCCTTCTCTTTTTTCTCTTCTTCTTAACTTTCCTATAGTCCATTTATAAACAGTCTCAGATCTCTTTCAGTGTCTTTTCAGAGTGAATTATGGCCTCAAGAAACTCAGGCAATTCCTCTTGGACACCGAAGCAAAACAAGCTGTTTGAAAAGGCTTTAGCTTTGTATGATAAGGACACCCCAGACCGGTGGCAAAACATTGCCAAGGCTGTTGGTGGTGGAAAATCTGTTGATGAAGTTAAGAGACACTATGAAATCCTCATTGAAGATCTCAAGCATATCGAATCCGGAAGGATTCCAATTCCCAACTACAAGTCCACCAGAAGTAGCAACTGCAATGCTGCTGATGAAGAGAGGTAATCCTTTAACTTGTAATCAAGTCTTTGAACTAGTTCAATCTGCTTTAGTTTAGTTTACTTCTCAATCACTATAAAACTGATCAACCGACTCTGGGAAAAATATATGGTTGTACACTAAAGTTAAAGGATTGCATGTCTTAATCACCAGATTGTGCCAAAGATATTTCAGAGCCCAGAAGTGGTCCATGGAGTGAAGGAAAAAAAGTGTATAACTTTGAAATGAAATTAAGAATTATAAAGTTAAGGTGGTCCATTTGATGCACATGTATATGGTCATATTCTTAGAGCATTGAACCATATCTCTGAACTACATCAAACAAAACGTTGTACTTCTACAGCCAACCCAATTCTCTCAAAAATAAATAAAAATCCTGACTGTCCTAATATCACTCTGCTTTTCTTTCAAAATTTGCTTCTTAAAGTGAGTGTTTTTAGCATTTCTAATGGCATAAGCTAAGACAATTAATGATGTAATTCTTTGTTTTGCAGGTTTCTAAAGAATCTGAAGCTACAGTGAAGTCCGAATCTATATATAAAAATGTTAAGATTAGATATGTGTGACTGTGAAAGATAGTTGTATGTATCAACATGTGAACAACTCTTTCCTTCCCTCTCTCTCTTCTTCCCCTTTGTCTCATCTTAAGCCATGCATCATCTAAGTAATGAAAATCTCCATGTTTAGAAACATTTTTTTTCTCCTTTTCCAGTTCAGACTCAGGACTACTTCCATATAATTCATAAGAAAAAAGAATCCTAATTGTGTTCATCTCGGAAAGAAAAAAGGTTTTCTCAAGTTTCCATCACAAGTGGATGATGAGATGATATAATGAATTTAAAATGTCCATAACTGATGGATGTTACATAATATTACTTGGATATTGGTTAATAAATTTTATAGGTAACTCTGAAATGAAGTGACATTATCTCATAGTCAAGAGAAGAGGTCTTGCCCGCTTAATGGTGGAATTAACCCATGAATATATTGCTTACCAAGTTCTCAAACTAGAAATATACAGTTCTCACAAGATCAACTTCAGCATTGTGTACGGGCAGGGAGTTTCAAACCCAAAAGGCTAACCGATTGGGTAGAGGGACTCCCCGCCTTATAAACCCAAGGGCCAAGACCCCCCCATTTTCCTTCCAATGTGAGATCCATGACATTCTCTCCCACCCAATCCTATGACGCCCCTATCACAGGTGAGGCCCCTTGCCTACCCGTCCATCTTACCCTCAAGTGGACCCATAATCACACATGGACGGCCCTTTGCATGGGCGCTTGGCAGGACACCGAAAGACGGATTGTGATTGGCTCTAATACCACTTGTCACAAGCTCGGAGTTTCACACCTAAAATGCTAACCTATTAGGTGGAGAGACCCTCCTTTATAAACTCAAGAACCCTCCATTTCCCTTCCCATGTGTAATCCATGACAATTGGCTGGGCTGATTATTTTTATTTGTCAGATTCTCGGCCCATGATGATGAGCCTGCCCAGCTCCCACTCAGCTTGATCAAATATTTACATCACACAAATCACTAGAGCCCACTTGCTAGAGCTCATAATCAAAATTAACCTTCAACAGCCATGGATTCAACCAGTAGAAATTAAAGAAACACATAAACAAATCATTTACTATTAATGTTATAATAAACAAAAAGGCCAAGTAAATCCATCAAAGCTTCAAGAATTTTAAGTAATGGCTAGCTGTGTTGAGCATTTTCTTGTGTGAAAGAGCCAAGAATTCTCTTGAGGTTCCTGTTGTAGACGCATTGTCTCTCCAGGTTAACAATGTGACCTGCCTTCTTAATTGCCTTCAATGTTGCTTTCTCTCCCAACTGTCTGTCAATTAAGTTAACGTCTTGTCATTAATCCAATACTCATCCTCATCAATTCTAACAACAAAATACATGTATATAATATAACATGAACTTACTCTTTCAGGCTCCGGGCTGTTTCTATATCGAAGATCAAATCATTTTCACCCCACAAGAGATACATCTTCTGCAATAATTTGCGACATTAGTTAGAAAGAAAAGAAAATGGCACATTACTAGTTTTGATTCCTATAGAGAGAACTTTTTTTTTTTTTTTTTTTGGTAATTAAATTTCATTAGAAAAAAAGAAAGAATATATGAAGGCCATGGAAACTCAGTCAACCTACCTCAGGGCATGCCCTGGATTAGGTGCAAAGAATCAAGTAATCTAAAAGACTACCATCAAAAGGCTAACTAGTGTTATGACACGAGAGTTTCTCACCCAAAAAGCTAACATATTAGATAGACGGACTTCGCCCATTTATAAGCCCAAGACCTCCCCAATACGCTTTCGATATAAGATTGGTTACATTCTTCCCCACCCAATCATATGACACCCTCATTATAGGAGGGGTCCTCTTGCCTACCTGTCCACCTCACTCTCGTGTGGACCCACAATCACACATGGACGTCTCTGCGTGAATGCTTGGTGGGACATCGACGGACGAACTGGGTCCACTCTGATGCCACTTGTCACTGACTAAGAGTTTTATACCCAAAAAGATAACCTATTAGATAGAGAGATTTCTCATATTTATAAGCTCAAGACCTCTCTAATACGCTTTCGATGTGAGATTGATTACACTAGGCAAGAGCCTATACAAAACCAAAAGCCCACTCTCCTCTTGTTATGCAATCTTAATACCCAGAATGTGAACAAGAAGAGCACAAACGAACTAGCCCACACATAGCAACTAACCGTAGACAAAAATCAAAAACAAAGATACGGCTCCTCCTACAGGACAAGCCCTTGGGCAGGGCGAATCTAGCCTAGTTTTGGGTGGGCTATGACCCACCCTCAAATTTTTTTTTTTTTTTAAATACTATGTACAATTTCTATATTTTGGTCACCATGACAAAAATATTAATGTGTGATTAGTTTTTATTTTAGCATACCCTAATAGAAATTTTTGGATCCACTACTACCCTTCGGTGAGGACCAGAAAACAAAACAAAGAAGACAACTCTGGAATTTCCATATAAGAGAACTTCATTTATGGATAGAATTATACCTGTGGGTAATGAGGGATAGTAAATCGCTCATCACTTATGACCAAAGCCTGTAGAAGTTCAGTCCTCTCCTTTCTGTGATTAAACATTGTCTGTCATCATACATATTACACTTCATAGTCAAAACTCTTCTAACTTTTCGTACAGTTAACCACCATTATTGATTTACAAAAATCATGCTTACCTCCAAAATTTCTCTGTAAAAGAAATTGTGAAATCTTAGGAACCTGTAACTGCATTTGTCAAGCAGAGTCTTCACACCCTCCGCCGTTTTCGGAAGCAAGTTCTCCGGCAAGCTAGAGAACCCAACTCTCCGAAGCGCAGCATTATTTAGAGACTCAGTCAACGCCATCACTGCGCAAGTCACTACCATAGACTCCACCAACTCAGGATACATTTCAGCCATTTTGAATCCAACAATCCCGCCATAGCTGAGCCCGACAAGAGTGCACTTCTCCACTCCAAGCTTCCTCAGTCCCCTAGCCGTACACTCACTTTGAAACTCCACCGTCCGCTCAGGTCGGTCAGTAAATGAGCCGCCAAAGAAGAGAAAATCGGGAACGTAGACTGCATATTTTTTTGCCAAGCCTAGCACCTGGAATTGCCAATTTAAAATACCATCGAACGCAAATCCATGAAGAAACACCACAGCCGGCTTGTTTGTTTTATTCTTCGTCTTGTTAGTTGTTTCAGTTGGAACCCAGAAGTTTAAAACCGTCCCCGGTTCGATCTCTACTGCTTGAGTTGTCATCCCCACGAGCTTCATTGCTCCATTTAAGATGGATTTGTATATCAAGAAACAGTTCACCATCTCTGTGGGTCAGCAGTGTGTGTTTTTGTTCTTCCAAGAACTGGAGAACTGAGATTTGATCTGTCATAGATAGAATCTCCGTAAAATCTTATAGAATTCGATTTCTAATATAATAATAGAAATATGCTTAAACCAACTAAAATATTTGAAAGGTTATCGATAAGTTCCCTCCATGGCTGTGGCGGCGGCCATGGAGGGTACTGCTAAAGTGAAACAAGAAAGATAAAAGATGATTAATCAATTAATTAAGGTTATTCTTTGAGTAATACTCAAGAAATGAACTAGACAAACTCGCTAATTGCCCTTGGAATTTGCTTTAGGAATCTTGCTTTACTTCATGCAAGTTAGATAATAGTCTGAGTAATCAACACCAAACCAGATCCTAATTGTGTCCAGCTTTGCTTTAAGGAATCTGTTTAATTTTCTGAATTTTCTAAGATTACTTGCTTTCAGAATCTTGTTTCATGTTATACAGGTAAAAAAGGAATGAAACTGTAAAATCAGAACAAAAATATATTGCAGATTTTATGAGATTCTTGTAGCCTATTATTACATATATATTTCACTATTTCCCTTCCCTATCTCTCCCTTCTTCTCTGTCCCTCTCCCATGCTAATTAATTGTGAGCACTACTTACACACCAAGTAATCTTCATTGTGTTCATGATCTGGGAAAGAAAACAGTTTAACTTCCATTGCCATGTGATGGCTGTTAACAGTTCGACATTGATTAACAACTGCTGCACTGCACAGGTAAATCTGAAAGAAAGAGGGATTAAATGGTAATGCTCAGAATTCAATGGTGGAATTAATGAGGGCATGAATATATTTGCATTGAACAGAACAAGCTCTCAAGTATTGGTTAATTTGAGTCGGTTGATACGATGTTGATAGTATGTAAATAGAACGGGCTGGGCTGACTTGGATTCAGAATTTAAGGGCCGATTTCATTTGTCATGTTTTCAACCCGACTGGGTTTATTAGCACCATAGGGGACAGGGACAGAGTATAAAAGCCCCATTTTTTTAATAAAATTTATAATAATAAATTAAATTATTAAAATTAACTTTATTTTTTATTTTTTATAAATACTTTTGAAACCCTATTGTTATCTTATAAATCCTAATTTTATTTTTTTACTATTCACATTATTCCAAAATTGTAAATTTTTTAATTATTTCATATATAAATTTTTTGTTAGTTTTTCTTCAAAGCATTGGTAGCTATTTTAATTTATATGTTTTTTATATTATTTAACCGTATTATGTTATTAGGATTATTTGTAACAAGGATTTTTTTTTTTTTTTTTTTTAACTTTAAATTTTTCTGAACTTTCAATCTAATTATCTAAAATTTTATTATAGAAATAAAGATAATGGGGGGTATATAACATAAGTGAATTGAATAAAATATTAATTGTTTTAATATATATATATAAAAATTAGAATGAAGGGCATTCATAGAATTTATTAGGGTGATATAAGAAAAAGATTTAATTTTACAACTTTGAAATGAGACTTCTTTAGTACATTAGCGGGGTGTCAATAGCACCACTCTTTCAAGTTTCAACCCACGATGAGCCTTCCGAGCTCCAACTCAACAGTCATATATAAAAAAAATCTATGCATGTCACAGCCCTTTGAATTACTGAGAAATTAAAGACTATAATACTCTCTTAATTTGAGATTTTACTTTATCGAAATTGAATATTTTAAGTTAATTTTGTTTCTTCTTGATTTGTTTTTTAAAAAAATGGTTGAAATTCAATTAATATTTCACTGTCACATTATTTTATTATACTGTATAATGATTATATATTTTTTTAATTAATATAAATATAAAATGTCACTAAATATAACACATAAAATATTTTTATAATAATTATTAATAGTAAATCAAAATTACAATAATTTATAAATATTAAAATTAAATATTTTTATAAGAGAAATGCTAGAGGTACAAAGACTCTTTGTATAAAGTGATATGGTAGTTGTCACACCACTAGTTTCACATCAATCTTCTCTTTCTTTTCATAAACTAGTGGTGTGGCAGCTGTCATATCACTTTATACAAAAACTTTTTGTAGAAGTATTTGTATATCTAGTATTTCTCTTTTTATAAAGCAAGCGGGCTAGCCCACAGCACGGCACGATATATAGCAAGTTGTGCCATGGCCCGTGAGCCTTCAAATTTGGTGGGTCGACGCGACACGACAGGACACGAATTTTTGTAGGCTTTGGCATGACATGATGTATCTTAAATTTTTAGGCACGACACGCCCACGTCAACTCTATCAAACACCAAGAGATAGAAATCTTTGCAAATTTAGTTTAGATTAAAATCCTTCATGGATAATCGAATTTCTTCAACAGCCATGGATTAACTCTACATTATTATAAAATTACCAGTTACCCAACAAAACAAACTCTACGTTTAAATGAACAAAGCACTACATGAAGAAATGAAATAATAGACATGTCTCACTGATTCCATCAGCTTTGTTGAGCATAGGGAAGAATTCTCTTGAGCTCCTTGTTATAGAGGCATGGTCGCTCCATATTAACAAGGTGACCTGCCTTCTCTATTGCCTTCAACGTTGCATTCTGTCNAATTGAATAAAATATTAATTGTTTTAATATATATATATAAAAATTAGAATGAAGGGCATTCATAGAATTTATAGGGTCATATAAGAAAAAGATTTAATTTTACGACTTTGAAATGAGACTTCTTTGGTACGTTAGCGGGGTGTCAATAGCACCATTGTTTCAAGTTTCAACCAATGATGAGCCTTCCGAGCTCCAACTCAACAGTCATATATAAATAAATCTATGCATGTCACAGCCCTTGGATTGCGAATTACTGAAAAATTAAAGACTATAATACTCTCTTAATTTGAGATTTTACTTCAACGAAATTGAATATTTAATTTTGTTTCTTCTGGATTTGTTTTTCTAAAAAATTATTGAAATTCAATTAATATTTCAATGTCACGTTATTTTATTATATTGTATAGTGATTATATATTTTTTTAATTAATATAAATACAAAATGTCATTAAATATAACACATAAAATATTTTTATATAATTATTAATAGTAAATCAAAATTACCATAATTTATAAATATTAAAATTAAATATTTTTATAAGAGAAATGCTAAAGGTACAAAGAGTCTTTGTACAAAGTGATGTGGCAGTTGTCACACTATTAATTTCACATCAATCTTCTCTTTCTTTTCACAAACTAGTGGTGTGACAGTTGCCACATCACTTTATACAAAGACTTTTTATAGGAGTCTTTGTACATCTGATATTTCTCTTTTTATAAAGCATGCGGGTCAGCCCACGGCATAGCACGATATATAGCGAGTTGTGCCGTGGCCCGTGAGCCTTCAAATTTGGTGGGCCAGCGTGGCACGACAAGGTATGAATTTTTGCAGGCCTTAGCACGACACGACGTGCCTTAAATTTTTAGGCACGGCAAACACTAAGAGATAGAAATCTTTGCAAATTTAGTTTAGATTAAAATCCTTCATGGATAATCGAATTTCTTCAACAACCATGGATTAACTCTACATTATTATAAAATTACCAGTTACCCAACAAAACAAACTCTACGTTTAAATGAACAAAGCACTACATGAAGAAATGAAATAATAGACATGTCTCACTGATTCCATCAGCTTTGTTGAGCATAGGCAAGAATTCTCTTGAGCTCCTTGTTATAGAGGCATGGTCGCTCCATATTAACAAGGTGACCTGCCTTCTCTATTGCCTTCAACGTTGCATTCTGTCCGACTTGTCTGTCAATTAATTAATTAAATAGATTATCGTCATTAATTATTTGGTCGATGTAGATTCGTTTTCAGTAGAATAATTCTAGCAACAAAACACAGGCAAAGAAAGAAATAAATGAACATCAATTCAGATGAAGTAATAAATAAACTTACTCTTTGAAGTTCCATGCAGTTTCCATATCGTAAATCAAATCATTTTCACCCCACAAGATATACACCTTCTGCAAAAATAAATTTAAATTTTATATATTACATGAATGTTAAGAGAACTTTATTAATTGATGAGTAATTAAGGACATAATAACTAAGATAATTGTTTAATTAATACTTATGGCTAATGCATACTGAAGTAGGGTTGCAATCGAGCCGAGCCAAACCGAACTGAGTATTGAGAAGCTCATGCTCGGCTCGGCTAGAATAGTCGAGTGTGCCGTGACAAAAACTACACCATTATAACAAAATAATTGCGTACCTGTTGGTAACGAGGGATAGTAAATTGCTCATCACTTATGACCAAAGCTTTTAGAAGTTCAGCTCTCTCCTTTCTGTGGTTAAACATTGTCTGCCATCATATATCCACTTAGTCAACACTCAAGAATTCAAATAAACACCGGTTATTAATATATATATCTTTCCAAGCAAATCCCTAAAGACTAGGGAGTGTTGATATATGCCGGATCCAGACACATCGTAGGTGGATTCTCATAGGTATTGTTCGCTTTGGGCCTAAGAGTCTACATGGTTTTATAGTAGGTGGGTCTCAGAGGTATCGTCCGTTTTGGGCCTTGAAGTCTGCACGGTTTTATCTTGAAAATGCACCTCTGGGTGGTGAAGTGTCATTGTGCTGTCTTGAAAAGATGCCTCTAGATTGAGGGTGCCCCTGTGCTATATAAGGGCACCAACACCGGTTTTGTCTTGAAAATGCACCTCTGGGTGGTAAGGGTAGCACAAGGACACCAACACTGGTTGTGTCTTGAAAAGGTGCTTCTAGGTGGTGAATATGCCCTTGTGCTATATAAGGGTAGCAACACATGCCCCTTGTGCTATATAAGGCAACTAACACAGACCTTCTTTTTAGTGTCAACTGTTGATGTATATTGGATCCAAACTATGTGGGTTCCCAAAGATATTGCCGCTTTGAGCCTTAGGATCTACACGGTTGTCCTAAAAAGGCATATCCGGGTGGTGAGATTGTCATTGTGCTATATAAATAACCAAGACACTAATCTCCTAACCGATATAGAACTTTGGCACCAACATGGAGTAATATTATTAAAAAAACGGAAAGATATGAAGACATTAAAATAAAATTCAATACAACATAACGAAAATCTGTATTTAGGATACTCCCAACCATCCTGAATAAGTATATTACGAATATCGGAGGCAGGTTCATCTCACCATTTCATAACAGAAGATCCCAAATAAGCACCAATTAGCTAAGGTACAACTTCACAATAAAACAGTGCCGCGTACCTCCAAAAGTTCTTTGTAAACGAATTCGGGCAATCGTGGGAAGCTGTAACTGGCGACGTCAAGGAGAGTCTTCACACCCTCAGCCGTTTCAGGAAGCAAGTAATCTGCCCAGGAAGAGAACCCAACTCTCTGAAGCGCGGCATTGCTGACAGACTCAGTCAACGCCATGACTGAACAAGTCACCACCACCGACTCAACCAAGTCAGGGTACATTTCAGCCACTTTTAACGCCACCGTCTCGCCATAGCTGAGCCCAACCAAGGTGCACCTCTCTACTCCGAGCTTCCTCAGCCCCTTACCCATACACTCACTTTGAAACTCCACTGTCCGCTCAGGTCGGTCCGTAATCGAGCCGCCAAAGAAGAGAAAATCCGGAACGTACACAGAATACGTTTTGGCAAAGGCTAGAACCTGGAATGGCCAAGTTAGAATACCATCGAAGCCAAATCCGTGAAGAAACACCACAGCTGGCTTGTTGTTAGTTGTTTGAGCTGGAAGCCAGAAGTTTAAGATCGTCCCTGGCTCGATCTCTACTTCCTGAGTTGTCATCCCAACTAGCTTCAGTGCCCCATGCAATAAGGATTTGTATATCGAGAAAAAGTTCACCATTTATGTGTATGTTTTTGTTCTTCTAACTTTCTATATGGAGAAAGAGAAAGATACGGTTGTGCTTTAGTAGCGTAAAGGAATGTGAACAAATTCTTGAAGAATTACTGATGTAAAGAGACCTGACTAGCCATAAATCACATATAAAAGTAACCAAATTGAAAACTGAATCATGATTTTGTTCACGAAGTAAGGTTTGACTACAAGATGTTACCTAACATGGGATGATACTGATTAACAACTATATATACAGCATTTATTAGACACTGATTGACAACTATATACAGGTCAGCATTTATTAGACACTGATTAACAACTTTACAAGTACCTCTGAAATGAATTCACATTAAATTGTACAGCTTCCATTTACATGGTGGAATGAGGCCATGAATATATTGCATAGCAAGTACTCTAACTGTCTAAATGGGAAATATACGATTCTCACAAGCTAAGCTTTGGTTAATCTGAGTCTGATGTTGTGATGTTGATAGTATGTAAATCGAACGGCTTGAGCTAACTGGAACTCAAAATTGAAAGGTTGATTTTCATTTGTCAGGTTTTTGGCCCATGATGAGCCTGCGGGGCTCCAATTCAGCCTAAGGGAAGAATGTTAAGGGGTGTTTGTCTGAGCTTATGAAAATTAGCTTATAAACAACAATTGCTTATAGGCTAAAATTAACTTATAAGCATTTGAAATTTTAAGCAATTACGTGTTTGATTAAAATTAACTTATAAGCATTTGAAATTTTAAGCAATTACGTGTTTGATTAAAATACTTATAAGTGACTGATAAGTAATTAACGTGTTTGGTAAAATGTGACTTATAAGTACATTTTATTATAAAATTACTAAAAAATGTATTACATTAAACAAGAGTATACTATGGAATTTTAAAATTAAACAAGGATAATGTATTAATATACTTGGTCAAACTAGCTTATAAGTAAAGTGCTTATAAGCCAAAAGTATCTCCCCCCCAACTTATTTTTTTTAGCTTATAAGCTCAAAAAAATTATAAACAAACAGGTCAGCTTAATTTTAAAGCTTATAAGCAAGTTTAACCAGCTTATAAGCTTAGACAAACACCCCCTAATAGAACCACTCTCTTCCTCATTCTCTTTCATACTCTATGACGTTGCTTTCTGTATATTATGCCTTTAACATTGCTCTCTGTATATTTTAAGTTTGATTTTTTGGGTTAGATTTTTCTTTTATTAGATCTATTTATACAAGTAGTATAAAACTAATGTGATTTATAACGTTATTATCAACATATCATTCATGGACATGTAATATAACCGCATATTACATATAACACAGTATGCCACATTTGTGCATTATATCAGTTTACTAGTTGCACTGTTGTACAAGATTCTTCAAGCACTTTGAGAGAGAGAGAGAGAAATCTCAGCAAATTCTGTGAGGGCTGAGAGAAAAATTCAGTTCAGGTCAAAACCCTCATCAATAATCCAATTCCTTCAACAGATAGCCATGGATTAACTCCATATTAAGAAGTACAAATGAACAGATCCAATAAAGAAAAGCTTCAATTCATCGATCAACACCAGAAATGCAAGAATTTCCACTAGCTTTGTTGAGCAGAGGCAAGAATTCTCTTGAGCTCCCTGTTGTAAACGCATGGTCGTTCCAGGTTAACAAGATGACCTGCCTTCTCTATTGCCTTCAATGTTGCTTTCTGTCCAACTTGTCTGTCAAATAAATTAAATTATTGTCATTAATTATTTGGTTGATGCTGATTCTTTTTCATATTCATATGGTCCCTCTATTTATTACAAGTCCACTGCTCAACTATCTCACTGCCAACTGATCAATACTTCCATTTTTTTTTTTTTTTAAGAATAATGCGTACTCTTTTCAAATGAAATTCTAATTTATTTATTTTTTATGAGCAAGGTAATCCGGGCTAGCTTACGCGTGCTTCACTAATCCCGTGAGATCCGGGAACTATAACCGAGTAAGAATTGCTATGGCTATCCCTATTAACAACTGAGAAAGAAACTCGAACTCAAAATATTTTGAGTAATATATTTAAGAGTCCTTATTGAACCAGTCGATCAGAGGTCAACATTTGGGACTCTGTCTAAAAACCCGGCCCAAAAACCCAATCCTAGGAGGCCTGGTCCCAAAACGGAACCAGGCCTAAAGAGGAAGGCCAGGTCCCTCCACTGGGCCCGAATTTTTTTACATATTTTTGTTTTAATCCTTTGTACAATTACATAAAACCGCTTATAAATTTTGAAATAAACATAAATTATAAGGGTTAAAAGGGAATTTTACAAAATTTACTTAAAACCAAAATTTCCAAGTCCCAAAAAATTTATTAAATTTTACCCTAAAAATACTAAAAACCCCCTACAAAATTCCGTTCGCCCTTAAAATATAAAAAAAGATCAAGGGAGAAAAAAAAAATTCAGGCCCATAGGACCGGTCCAAGTCCTAGAATTACTCATGGGCCTGAGACCGATCCCAAACCCAGCCCGGCCTGCTTGGGACTGATCCTTGACCAGCTCTACACTCAACTACTCAAAAATTCTAAATTTTCCATTCCAAATAATATGTTGACTCATATGGCGTTTATATATCATTTAACATATCAACTACTTCTCATTTACACAACAAAAAACCACCTAAGAGAACACAGGTAATTAAATAGATTAAACATTAAAGTAAACTTACTCTTTCAAATTCCGGGCAGTTTCCATATCGAAAATCAAATCATTTTCACCCCACAAGAGATATACCTTCTGCGATTAATCATTAAATATATGAGAACTTCATTGATGAATAATTGACTAATCGTTTAATTATTATTTTTATTTCCAAACCTGGGTCCCTGAATATCTTCACCTGATTGCTTTAAAGATTACGTCTATCGTTCTACTATACTATTAATATCTCGGCTTCAAATAAAATATTACTCCCTTCGATTCTTATATAAAAGTCGTTTTAAGCTTGTATTCAAATTTTAATAAAGAAAATTTTATCTCTTCTACCCAACTTTTTCCCCTGATTTTGCAGGTGGGAAAAGATTTTACAGGTGAGAAACTTTCCCATTACATATTTAAATAATTTACATTTGTCTTATTCCATTTCTTTTATTCTGTTCCTTCGTCTCTTTCTTTTCTTTTGCAGGACAAGACAGGGAGTGACTTTTAATTTGAAAAAATAAAACACCCTTAAAATAACTTTTATATAAAAACAGATGGAGTATCTTATAACAAAATAAATGGTTCGTTTTATTATTATTTTAAAATTAAATCGATATTCAAAGTGGGAACCATATGTTATCTTTCAAGTCTTATCGAAGTATGAAATCGATAAAATATAGGTGACATTTCAGCTAAGTTATTTACATTATTTAGATTCATCTCAATCATAGAATTTAAATATATTTTTTCCCATAGTGGCTTTAGGTATTTTGTCTTGGTTAGACTTAAAATGTCGGGATTGATATATAAAATACATCAATGATGAAATCCCTATGCCAAAATTGATCAAAACCTAGCACCAAATTCCAAATGATATGGCTAAAAGATAAATAATTAATATTAAGAGTAAAAGACTTTTTCCTATCCAGGGTTTCCCTTAAATAACACTTTCCCACCTAAAAAGCTTCAAAATACCATTTTCTCACTCAAAGTTTATATTCCGTTAATACCTAAAATACATTTCACTTTCTTAGCCGATGTTCGATGAATTATCAGGAGCCAAGATAAGAGTGATTTTGTATAATGAAGGTCAATGGATCGAATGGTGGTGACCGATTAAATGTTTACCGTCGGAATTAGCCAAAAATCAACTGAGAATATTAAACCTTAGTTTCTCGATGACCGATAATTGTCGAGAAATCAAGTGTCGAAGTAATAGAGGTTTTATAGAGAAGAGACTGAAGGTTTAAATTGTGGTGATAGAGAAAATTTTTGCTACTGGAATCAACCAGAATAGACTTTAGGTAGTATAGAATATTAACTTTACGTCAGAATAGACTTTAGGTAGTATAGAATATTAACTTTACGTGGGAAAGTGAGTTTTTGAACTTTTCTGGTGAAAAAGTGCCATTAAGGCATACCCGGGGTGGGAAAAAGTTGTTTACTCTTAATATTATTATTGGTTACCTGTGGATAACGAGGGATAGTAAATTCCCTATCACTTATGACCAGAGCCTCTAGAAGTTCAGTTTTCTCCTTTCTGTAGATAGAAATCATCTGCCATTTCATAGTCAACACTCAAACATTCAAATAACCACCATATTAGCTAAGCTACAACTTCACAGTATGTAAACTGGAGATATCATCATATTTCGTAACAATGGATGTTTGTATTAAAGAAAAAAGAGTACCTCCAAAATTTCTTTGTAAATGAATTGGGGAAGTCTTGGCAGATTGTAAGTGGCGATGTCAAGGAGAGTCTTCGTACCGTCGGCCGTTTTAGGAAGCAAGTAATCCGGCCAGCTAGAGAAACCGATTCTCTGAAGCGCAGCATTGCTGACAGACTCTGTTAACGCCATGACTGAGCAAGTCACCACCATCGATTCAACCAAGTCAGGGTACATCTCAGCCATTTTGAACGCCACCATCCCGCCATAGCTGAGCCCAACCAAGGTGCACTTCTCCACGCCGAGTTTCCTCAGTCCCCTAGCCATACACTCACTTTGAAACTCCACTGTCCGCTCAGGTCGGTCCGTGAACGAGCCGCCAAAGAAGAGAAAATCCGGAACGTAGACTGCATACGTTTTGACCAAGGCTAGCACCTGAAATTGCCAAGTTAGAATACCATCGAATCCAAACCCGTGAAGAAACACCAGAGTTGGCTTGTTGTTAGTTGTATCTGTTGGAAGCCAGAAGTTCAAGACCGTCCCTGGCTCGATCTCGACTGCTTGAGTCGTCATCCCGACTAGTTTCAGTGCGCCACGCAAGAAGGTTTTGTATATCGATAAAAACCTTACCATTTTTCTATATAGAGTTAAAGAAAGATACGATAGTACTTTAATGGAGTAAAGGAATGTTAACGGTTCCCTGAAAAACTTGATGTAGTGTGTCTTTAAGAATTCAAGAACTGGAGAGCTGACATTTGACTAGCCATGAGTAGAATCTCCATAAAATCTTTTGACACAAGCAATCCAAGTCGATTTCTAATATAATAAGAGAAATGCTAGGTGTAATCCCCATACCCCAATAAATAATTCATCTCGGTTCAAAATATCTAACTTGAAGGACTTTATAAACGTGTTAAATAATATTTTAATTTTTTTAATAATAAGTGTTAGTTCAAAATTTATTAGTTTATGTCACTTAAGACAAATATATCTATTAAAATTAAGATTAAAAAATTTTCTAGGTCGTCTTAGTTGCCCTCTGATCTTGACATTTTATACTTGCCTTTTTACATTAGTTTAAGTCTCTTAATTCATGTTGTGAGTGAATGCTGAAACGGCGTCATACTGAGTATTAGTGGAACGGTGTCGTTGTGAGACAGCTCCAAGATGATCCTGACCGCTGATTCAGAGAAAAATCTAACGACTGAAATCAAGCCTCCAGTCAACACTATAAAAGGATTAAGTCTTCGCATAAACTGTAGATCAAACACAAGAGAGAGAGCCAATTTTTCGTATTCTTCGATCTGTTAGGGTTCTTAATTTTCTGGGGTCTGATTTCAGTTGTAATCTGTGGGTATCTTGAGTGGTTTGGGTTAATTAGTCAAGGGAAGAACTTCTGTGCTCTTGTTATAAGAATTTTCAGGTTAGAGTATTCCTATGGCAGATTATGGGTTAGAATCAGAGTTGTTTGATCTAGGGTTTTGGGCGTATTCTTGTAATCATGACTGTAAGTGATTGTTCAATAATCATAGTGCAGCGAACTCCTTTCTCCGGAGTTCAACGTAGATGTAGCTTGCTCAAATAGGGCAAGTGAACCACGGTAAAATCCGGTGTTGATTGTTTGTGTGTTTTCTTGTTTCTTGATTGTTTGTGGTTGTTTCTTGGTTGATTGCATAACAATGGTATCAGAGCCGACGTTCTAGGGTGTATCTAGGTTTAGAAATCGATTAATTTTTTTGATGAATTCAAAAATTAGGGTTTGTTAGATTTTAGGGGTTTTTCGATCTAAATGTTCCTAGAGCTTTAGGACTTCGAATCTTGCTGAGTCTTGGGGTTAATTCGTGAGAATAGATCACAAATACGAGTCAGTGAGAGAAATCTTGGTTATTGCCTAGAGGCTGTACCAGTACTGTTCATTTTCGTTTTATCTATCAAGTTTAAGGGTATATCGGCTGGAAACCAGTAACCGCCTTAAAAACTGCCTGGCAGTACTTGGCGACCTTTGGTCTAACAATGCCACTTACACTTTAGACTGTCCTACCCTGCCTTTATAGTACGATGAGCACTACCCGTATGGAGATCTCCCAATACGATGGGAAGATTGATTTCGGGAGTTGGAAGAAGAAAATGAAAGCTCTGTTTTCACATAATAAAGTCGGTCTTGCACTGGAGAAGGATCCAAAGAAATGGCCCAAGGAGAAATTGAAGGAGAAGGAGGAGATTGACGAAGCAGCTTACAATCTGATCGTGATGAACCTCTCAGACAACGTACTGAGGAAGGTTGATGGAATCGAAACTCCTCTGGGGTTATGGGGTAAACTGGAAACTTTGTATGCTCTGCAATCTGCACCAAATTTAGCATTTCTCAAGGGTGCTCTGTTTTCATATAAAATGGATAGTAACAAGACAATAGAGGAAAACCTAGATGAATTCCTAAAAATGACCTTAATTTTAAAGGGCACAGATCAGGAATTATGAGAAACTAGTCTAGCCATGATACTGCTAAACTCCATTACCAAGGATTATCTTGTAGTTAAGAATGTACTTCAGTATTCCGGTACTGTCCCTAGTGTTGACTTGATTGTGTCTGGTCTTAAGGCTAGAGAACTTGAGTTAAAGGTCCAAAAACGAAATGGGAGCAACCTGTTAGTTAGGGGAAAACCAGACACCTTTCAATCTGGTAAAGGAAGTCAACCTAGCCAGGGGTCCAAAAATAAGAAACGGGGTAAATGGAACAATAAGCATAAGGCAGAGTCTAGAAAATGCTTCTTCTGTAATAAAACTGGTCATCTGAGGAAGAATTGCTTTGAATGGCTTAAGAAACAAAAGCAGGGAAACACAGAGAGTAACCTAGCCTCATCCAAACTCTTAGTTGAAGAAACAGAAGTGCTTACTATCTCTATTTCTGACAATACAAAAGAGTGGATGTTAGATTCTGGGTGCTCATTCCACATGAGCCCCAATAGGGATTGTTTTCAAGACTTTGAGGAATATGATAGGGAAACTATTTTCATGGGGAATAACAATGCCTGTAGGGTTAAAGGTAAAGGTAGCATAACCCCTAGACTCTGTAGTGGGAAACTAATAAAACTTACCCATGTTAGGTACATTCTAGAACTCAAAAGGAACCTCATATCCTTAGGAACCCTATATGAGGAAGGGTGTTGTTGCAGACCCAAAAATGGGTGGCTGAATGTGTATAGAAACAAGAATCTTATCCTGAAAGGAGAAAAAAGGAATGGGTTATACATCCTATGTGGAGAATATTATTCTGATTGTCTAAGTTTAGCCCTAGTCACCTCAAATATGTTAGTAACTAAAAGATGGCACCTTAGGATGGGACATATGAGCCAGAGGGGATTAGATATCCTAAGTAACCAGGGCATCTTAGGAAAGGATACTATATCAACCCTAGAGTTCTGTGAGAACTACATATTAGGAAAACGGCACAGAGGCAGTTTCCCAAAGGGCATACACCTGGCCAAAGGATCCTTAGACTACATACATTCAGACTTATGGGGGCCTGAGAGAGTGAGGTCTCATAGGGGCAGTAGTTACTTTATGTCCATTGTAGATGATTTTAGCAGGAAAGTGTGGATTTACACCCTTAGAACTAAGGACCAGGCACTGTCTAAATTTCAAGAGTGGAAAGCCCTAGTGGAGAACCAGCTAGACAGAAGGTAAAAATTATAAGGACTGACAACGGATTAGAGTACTATAACACTGAATTTGATAAGTTTTGTAGTGAGCAAGGAATCCTAAGACATAGAACAGTGAGAAAAACCCCTCAGCAGAATGGAGTAGCTGAGAGGATGAGTAAGACCCTCCTGGAAAAAGTTAGATGCTTGCTGTTCACTTCAGGTTTACCTAATACCTTTTGGGGAGAGGCCTTGTCCACTGCAGCCTATCTGATAAATAGGAGCCCCTCTACTGCCATAAACTTTAAATGTCCTGAAGAAGTGTGGTCTGGGAGAAAGTCTGGTTTAAGTCATTTGAAAATTTTTGGGTGTGCTGCCTATGCACATACTGTGGGAGGAAAGTTAGAGCCTACGTCCACCAAGTGTGTGTTCCTAGGATATCAAAATGGTACCAAAGGGTACAAACTCTGGGACAGAGATTCACCAGGGGTAAAAATCATTATTTCTAGGGATGTAGTCTTTAATGAAGGGGTGTTTCCTTGTAAAACCACTGGATAGAACACTGTTAACCACACCCCATCTGAACATACAAAGGATCCATCTGAGATTACAACTATTGAGGTGAAGCCTGTGGGTTAGTAGGATGAATTAGGGGCGTTCAAAAAAATGCAGAAACCGAACCGAACCGAAAAACTGGTTAACTGAAAAAAAGGTTCTGTTACGGTTCAAAAAATTCAAAAAACTGAATTTTCGATTCGGTTATCGGTTCAGAAGAAATTAGAAACAGTTAACCGAAAACTGGTTTTCTAAACCGGTTTTTCAAATATATAAAATATATATATATATATATATAATATATATATATATAATATTATATATATATATATATATATAAAATAAATAAATAATAACCTAAACTAAAATAAATCTCTAATTCACTTAATCTAAAATCCCAACCCAAATTTTTTTTCTTAGTTCCCAATGTATTGTCTATATTTACAATTAAATTTAGGACAAAATTAAAAAAAAAAAAGTTTTATTAAAAAAAAGGGAAAACCAGTTCAAAACTGGTTAACCGCTTTTTTTAAACCGGTTTTCCCTAAAACCGGTTTGGTTTCGATTCGGTTTAGAAAAGCGGTTAACTGGTCCGGTTAACCACTTTTGAACACCCCTAGGCTGAACCACCTCAACCTGATGAGGAACAAGCACCAGAAAACCAACCAGGACCAGAAGATCCTGGATCTGATAGTGAAGAAACTGGAGCAGATACCCCAGAGCCACAACATGCCCAACTAGAACACTATCAACTTCCCAGAGATAGGATAAGAAGGGAGGTAAGACCCCCTGCCAGATTTTCTTATGTTGAACTGATATATACTGCTTTGCTTGCAGGAACAAAGATTCAAAGAACAGAACCAGATTCATATGAAGAAGCAATGAACTCCTAGGAAAGGGAAAAATGGAGGCAAGCAATGGAAGAGGAAATGAGGTCTCTTGAGGTAAACAGAACCTGGTCCTTGGTTCCCAAACCCAAGGACCAGAAACTAATAAAATGTAGATGGTTGTATAAGATTAAAGAGGGAATTTTAGATACTGATCCTCCTAGGTACAAGGCTAGGCTAGGCTAGGCTAGTAGCTAAGGGTTACACCCAACGGGAGGGAATATACTTCAATGAAGTCTTTTCCCCTGTAATCAAGTATAAAACCATCAAGTTAATGCTCTCCATTGTTGCCCATTGTAACCTAGAGCTAGAACATATGGATGTTACCACTGCCTTCCTGCATGGTAACTTAGAAGAGGAGATTTACATGAGCCAACCTCTAGGTTTTATTGACCCTGAGAAACCTGACCAAGTATGCCTCCTGCACAAATCACTGTATGGACTGAAACAGTCCCCAAGACAGTGGTCTAAGAGGTTTAACAATTTCATTGTTAGCATAGGGTACACTAGGAGTAGATATGATAGCTCTTTCTATTTTAATTTGAATTATAATCTGCCTGTGTATCTCTTATTATATGTAGATGATATGTTGCTGGTGAGTGAGTCTAAGGCTAAAATTCATGAGTTAAAGGGACAGCTTAGGTCAGAATTTGACAT